TCCAGCACCAATAATTGGTTGATACCTCATTTATTCTCTGATAGTAGTTTGCTCAAAGGGTGGTTTGTTTTAAAAAAGATATAAATACGTTATAACAGTTATATTGTGATCAGAAGTGCTTACCTAAGTCCTTTTATAGGACTGATTCGTATAGTTAAAACGTTAGACACTCAAATGCTTAGACTCGCAGGGTGCACCTATAAGCATACAAAGGACCGTGTGTTGAATTAAAAGTTAAACGTAAACGTATACTTATTCGATTTATATAAAGGTTTTAACGGAAAACAACCCTTACTCTCTTAGTGACTTGTCTGACCCCAGAGGCCCATACTGACCCGCACTCACGGGAACAGTTATCCCCCTGCCTTTCAGCGAGAATAAATCTGTGCCCTGTGGCCTGTCAGGCTGTCACCCCTGCTAACCTCAATAAGTGAGACGATTTGTGTATAAGCGTTGAACGTCGTACGTTTACGGAATGATTTTTAAGCGTTACAACGTACTATGCATATATTATGGCCTGAAAAAAATCACAGTTATGACTTGGTAGGTACACCTTGAATTCCGTTTTTGGCCACGAAACACAAAACTAACCAATTAGAAATTAGAAAGTGAAGATCTTATTCACCAACTGACGACTGCCATGACAGTTGACAATTGACAGATGACTTCATGGGACAGAATATAGCTGACCCGGAGAATGACCCCATAGCGAATTTCTGGACTCACTATTCACAATAAACGTTAAATATATAACGTATACTTATTGAAAAATTTGCAGAGTCCAGACTCCAGTCCGCTAGACGGCTGCTCTCTACTCCAGACTAGAGTCTCTCGCTCTAGTCTCTACTCAGAGTTTTAGATTTATTAGACTATGTGAATTGAAGGTATTCTTCGCTCAATATCTAACTCTTTATACTTGCGTTGTTGTTTTATGCACGGTTGTAGCTGTGTGTATGATACGCTTAGTGTGTACACCGGGGGCTCTGTCTGTACATACGTGGGTTTTGCTATGACGCCTCGGCTTAAGATGAAGTAATCAGTTTTATTGGTTTCAGAGGCCTTTATTGATTTTACTACCAATGGAATGTTTAAAAATAGATAGCACCACTTTATGGACCACTCAAACAAGGAAAAAATATGTACCCCACGAGATAAAAGGATATCAGGTGTGCTGTTTAAAAAAACAACAACAGAAAAAACAGAATACTGTTACTGTATCATAGAAAACCAGAAGTGATGTCTTTTTCCGGAAAATGAATAGGTTTGATTTTGAGTTTGTATTTTTTTAAGCTCTAATCAGAGTACATTTTCTCTGAAAAGCCTAAACCGCCCTCGGCCATATCGTTTCAACACACATCCAGTATCCACAAGAAGAGGTGAGAAGAAGAGAAAAGAAGAGAGCTGAAACTGACAGTATAAAGTCGAAAATATCTTTTTTCAAAATACAACTTCTATATACATACTAAAATTTGTTTTTTTTTAAACAAATAATATGAGGATAGCCTTTTTGTTAAAAAAAGGCCTGGATTATGTCAAAACGGCGTTAAAAATCCACTTTTCAAAAATCGAGACCGGATTTTGTTGCCAGTGCGGGTGTATTATCAAAAATTCATTAAAAAATTCGATTTGTTGGACGGATTTTGTCACCGGGCGGTCGGCCTAATCAAATATTAGGTTTCCACAAGATTGTCCTATATTCGATTTTCAAGCGCCAAAATGACTATAGAAATAGTTGTTAAGAATTAAAAAAGGTTAGCGGGCCCCAATCCGCCACATTTTCAAAATCAAAGAAATTTAAAAAAACCTGAGTATTTTTTTGTTAGAAAAATATACAATTGTTACTCAAAGTTAGTTGAAGTCACTCTTAATTTCACTATAGAGTAGTTATGTAAAATTCAGAGTTCAATCTAATAGGAATAGACTACTTGGCATAATAACACGATACAACGAATAATATCTCAATATTTTAAAACCACTTTCGTTCCCAATATCAATAAATGCAACTCTCGATCACTCGCTTGCGCTTTTTTTAAGAGATAAGAGTAAAATATAAATGTAGGGTATGTCATCCATTTCGTTTTTCTATACACTCTTTCACAAGAAAATATATCGATGTGTCATGTCACAACTCACAACATCACAGTTCACACATGTGAGTTGCGAGTTGTGAGTTTGTGACGGATGTGACCCCTCTCTTGCAGTTGTGACTTGTGGCGATGTGAATGCTTTTTGTTTTTTGTTTATTTTTACAAACCAAAAAACAACAACCTAAATATGAATATTATATTTAGACTTCCTGTGATGTGATCAAGTGAATGGTGTCACAAAATCACAAGGTGATTCGTGCTAATATAGTCATTGAAAAAATATTTAGATTTAAAAAAACAACAACAAAGCGTTCGAGAAAAGTTTACCCTTATAGTGATAGAAGCCATAGATGAGTATTGACAAATAGTTTATTGAATGCAACCAATTAAGAACATAGTGTACTGAAAAATAGTTCTGAAACAACGAATGATAGTTCTATTTGCATATTGATTGTATTTTTTCTGAAAACTGATCTATTTACAGGAGGATATGATCAAGAGACCTATATTTAACAAAAATCAAGTCTGTACAATTTAGGGGGCTGTGCCAATTGCCAAGTCGCCCATTTTTTTATACTTGTCCATTTTTTGGTTTTGGGGGGTTTTTTCCTCAAACATAAACTTGTTGGCTATATTTTGTAAAATTTTACCGCAAACATGGTATTTGAATATTGATATATAAAATGTGGCTGACAATTGGCAGACAACTGGGGCAGAGTGTTGAGACTGTTGAATCACGAAGTCGAAAGTGGTTTTCAAAATCACAACATATTTTTACTTGACTTGTAGTTGGGACTTTGGAGTTGGGACTGGGGGTTTTAGGCCGTCAGCCGTCAGCCGTCAGCCGTCAGCCGTCAGCCGTCAGCCGTCAGCCTGTCAGGCCCGGAACTTTCAAGAGCCGGCGGTAGAGAGGTTAGCAGTTGGAGACGTCCCCCAACTCGCGGCCACCTCAGGTCAGGGCCCAGTTGCCCACAGTGGCCACAGACCACTAAGGGGTTGGGCGGTGAGTCTGTGTCCGGTGACCGCTACCCGCCGACTGACACACATCCACACACATACTCCATAGTCCACAGTTCACAGGCCACAAAAATACTTTCGAGTTTCGACTCTCGACTCTTGAGTCTCTCTCTTCTCTCTCTTGTGTGTGTGAGAGTATTTTATATATTCAATGTATTTTTTTTTTCAATTTGGGTTTTGTTTTTAAAAACAAACAAAAAGGCTTTGTGTATACTGTATATATGTAGAACCAAGAGACCTGAAAATAGGTAAATAATCAATGGAACTGTTTTTAGGGTTTTTAATAAATAAATACAATAAGAGTATTTACATATCAAATATCTACATTGTTTAAAAAAGAAATACATTACAATAGTACAACGGATTTTCAATTTGCGTGCAAAATGTTTATAAACTCAATATTATATGGTCGAAATCGTGGATTTTACACTTCAGAACTGAACCCATATTCAACAAAAATCAGAAGGTATATATATTTGTGCAATTTTAGGACATGATATATGATCTAGAAAACTGCACCTAAAAATATCGGTTATATAAAAGTTGAACGTTAACCGCTATTTTTCACATAGTAAACAGTTTTACGTAAAACATTTTGTTTTAAAAGATACCAAAATGGTTTAGGGTTTTATGAGAGAAAAATATTTACACTCTTAATTTTTCTACCCGCACTGCCCGCCACCTGTGCTTCTACTACTAGTCTACTACTCTACACTCTAGTTTCTACTCTCTACTAGTAGTAGAGAGTAGAGAAGAGAGCGAGTAGTGTAAATAGTAGGCCTTAGGGTCCAGGGCCTAGCTCTGTCCACCCAGGCCCAGGGATCAGGTGAGTCAGGTCGGAGTTCCGACTAGTAGGCCTGGGAACTCATAAATACATTTTTCATATTTCCAATTTTTCACTACATATTCCATATTTTCGTTTTGGTGGTCTCCCCAATACAACTGTTCTTAAATATTACCCGAAGATTTCGATTTTTAAAAACATTTCTTGTGTTTTGTTTTAGCCAAATTAAACCTCCAGGCTACCATTTTCATATCCAAAAAAATGAGTTCCCAGGGGCCAGGGGCCCAGGGCCCAGGCTGGTTCCGACTCAGGCCCAGCAGGCAGCGGCCAGTAGTTCAGTATTTATTTAGTCCTAGGCTCCCAGCACTATGTAGATTGTAGCATTGTAAATTTATATTAATAATAATAATAATAGTAGTTCAATTTTAGGAGGCTATGTGATAGTAAATTTTAAAAAAATACAAATTTCTTACAGACACAATCACTGGAAACAGAACAAAAGTCGTAAAACGTAGATTGGGGGTTTGTTTTTGAAAACAATGACTCTTTCTTATACTTTGTGGAGTAAACGACTCACAGGCAGAAGGTTTGGAGCAAAAGGTGACAATAATATAAGCGTTCGTCATTTGTTTTTAGAGAGCATTGTGGAAGGAGTGATGACCGGATTGATCAGGAGGCGAGCGAGTAGTGAGTGGTGACTGGCGAGTGACGGTTTTCGCTTTTATTGCCGTAAAAATACTATTTGCTTTATTGGGTTTATTATTATTAAAAAAATGGAAATACCTCAACTTCCTCAACCTCAACTCCTCAAGTCTCAACAAGACTGTTCTGCTGTTTGCGCCGTATGCGCGAGCTGCAGAGCACTCAGCACTGTTCAAGCGCATCAAATATTTTACGAAAAAACATATATTTTTGTAGAAAAAAAATAGGCCAACATTTTTAAATTATAATATAAAAAATACAATGGCAGAAACGAGAAACCGTTATTTAAAAAAAAAATATCGCATATTTACACTGCACAAGTATGTGTCGAATTATTTTTTTTGCGACAATTGTTATATACAAAACACGTCTGCACGAGCAGAGAGAGAGTATAGACATACTAACCCACACGACTTGATTACAATAGACAAGTCTACTGCTACTACATTCAGCTAGAAGTAAGTATCAATACCCCAATTTTCTCTCTAGTGAATTTTCATATGTACCGTTTTGCTATGCACTATAGCTTTCAGTAACAACGTGAGAGCCGTCTTTTCATTTGAGGTGGTTCCTGGTGCGACCTGGTAATACAAAGAGTCTCTGTATTCTCTGTAGCTCTGAAAGGTATGGATTGTGTGATATGCTCGGCGTAAAGTACGATAAACATAAATGTAGGCTTGCGATCTCGTTTACCAATAATTTGACATAGTTCAAATTTAATAACCCCGAGCACTCTGTCTCCGCGAGGCAAGTAAGCCAACAGTCCCAGGTTATCACAGTTTTTGGTTTCTTTATATCAAATCCATATTGTTTATGTTGCTACGTGTATTCGCGCATCTTTGTATGGTTGAGAACTCATTTATTATCTATTTGTCTTCGGTGCACGTGTTGTTTGTATCATGGGGAATTCTTCGTATATTGAAAATAGGGCAACTAATTCGCAAACTTTGTGTCAAATTGCCTATTTTCTTTAGATTTTACCTATTCTTTTGTAAGCGCAAGTGGTGGTAGATGCGTAAAGAAAGAAGTACATTCAATATTAGATGCACTACACCTACAACCGATTTGTCTCTAGGGATTTTACTACTGATACGAACGGGACTGCGCACATGGACCCTGTCGGGTATACGAGTACGCATGCATATCGAGGTATATGTTCACCCGCTGACTCTACTTTAATCGCAGGTACTACGGCTGCGAACATCATACTTGATTCCACCTATGAAACGGGACAGGGAATTGGTTCAGCAGGTACAGTAGATACACATAATATGGCAACTGGAAGAACACAGAATGTGCGCATGCACTCTCACATGCCTCAGCAACGAATACAACGGACCATATCTCCTTACATTATAGCAAATCCAAACGCAAAATCACCAGTTCCTATGCCCGCTTCGGAGGGTGATATGTGGCATAAACAATCAAATTTAGATAGAAGCGGGTCGCACACCCCGGGTGGGGTACTGGATAGGCAACTCTCGTATTTGAGCGCAAGTGCGGGCTTTAATAATACACATGATAACATGCGACACTTTACGGCATCAGATGCGCCACACGGTACCTATAGTGACAACGATAACGTTGTGTCGCTTTCCCGCACCGACAATGTTCAACAAGGGGGGGCAATGAATAAGTACTCATACGCGGACGCGAATGGTACTGGTGAATCGATTCCACTGAATACCATCGCATATAGTGGTCTCGCACAGCAGCACTTTAATCAAGGTGGGAATTTTGGTAACTCAGCCCATCACGCGCAAGGCTATCATGATATGGCATCAGAAAACTACCAACGGTCCGACTCGAACGATTACGTTCAGCAACAAGCAAACCTGCGGCGTATGTACAGCACAGATCCAAACCTGCAGCGTATGTACAGCACAGATCCAAACCTGCAGCGTATGTACAGCACAGATCCTGCTCAAGCACTCGCTAACCACCCCCCAGGCGGAGGACATTTTATGGGGTATGTTTTGAGTCCCCGGTTATTTTAACCATGATATAAGTAAGTGTCTATGATATCGTTTCTTGCAAGCTTTGATCTGTCGGAATTATCCAGTATCTGTGTCAAGCTCTTGTCTGTATCCACACCTGCTGGTGTAGTTGGAGTCGATTGTAAAGCTGATTTAGGCTGTGCTGACTATCCCTGGCTACATTTCTACACTCTACAGCACGGGCGACGCCTACGCACAGCAACAACATATGGACATGTCGAGAGGCTATTCACAACGGCAACCTATCCCAGCTTACAGGTACTTTTGCCCTCGATTTTTCGGCCCTCAAAAATAGATATTGTGCCTGACGGCCATATTTGCTAGCGATCAATCCCGGGATCCCTGATCGTCGGATCTTATTACTACACATTCTGCTTTTCATTACTAAATTCTATTTACAAATTGTATCGTCACATCTGAATTTTAGGACGGCGACAGGTGATATTATCGGGCCAGAAACGGATCATTCATATAGGAATCACCAGTCATATCCAGATAATTTGGGTAGGGTGCAACATCACGGGGCGCGAGACGTGCGCTTGAATAACCATCCTTACGCACAAGGTACTTCCAGCCAGCCTCAAACACACAATACTAATAGCCAATCTATTCCAACCAGGACATATACAGATCAAAGTACCTACACACAGTTGCCTCCGAGAGAGTTTGGATACAATTCCTACCATGGCGGGAACGATACGAGCCATAACGGATATCACAGCGGCTACGACCAAGCTATGGATATGAATCAAGGCGGTGTCGCGATCGGAGGCAATACGGAGTTTCAGGCAAGCGCAGACCATGATAACAATTTTAAGTCAGCATATGGACAGGATGCTTACAACGGGGTCACAGTATACAATACCGAAGCTAATAGTCATGTACAAGCGCATAATATGACTAATGGACCTGAAGGCTACGCTAATGCTTACCAAAAGAATGTTCAGAATGGGGCAGATGGAATCCTGGAGAACGGACATGTAAATACTGCTCATACATCGCAACATAAGTATGCCCCATACAATGATATTAGAGCGTCATCAGTTGGCAGTAAAAGAACGACGGATGTCTCGAGTTCAAAATCACAACGAAGGATGTCTAAGCCCACTGATTGCAATAGGCAAACGGCCAATGCAAAGTCGATCTGCACGAAGCCGTCGACCAAGGTCGGTGTCACGAAGAAGAAGAATTCGCTGTCACAGCTTTCTGTGACCGGAGAGGCAAATCACGTGTGTGGATGGCCCAATTGTGGCGTTTCGTTCAATAGCGAAGAAGCTTTGGCTTCGCATGTGCCTATACATACTGGCGACAAGCCTCACGAATGCTTGTGGATTGGGTGCAGTCAAAAATTTCTGCACCGCGGTCATTTGAATGTCCATCTACGGGCGCACACAGGGTTTAAGCCCTACATGTGCGAATGGGAGGGATGTGAACAGAAATTTAGTGTAATGGAGAATATGAAGCGGCATATGCGGACTCATACTGGCGAAAAGCCTTTCACCTGCGACCATGAGGGGTGCGGAAAGCGCTTCTCGTACAAAGGCAATCGCACAAAACACCAACGCGTACACAAGAATGCCGCGAATAAAGTTACAGCCGACAACGAGAGGGCCGCGATTGGGCGATCGCAGCGTGGGTAGTCGCATGCAAAGCATACCCCGGAACACTCTGGAAGGCGCGTACTAGGCAGGGAGTGTCACTCGCGAAGGCATGAAATAAAAATTAATAAAATGAATCTTTCACATAGGGCATTCTCCACGCCATGTCTTTTCTGTCGTTTGTTTATTACTTCTGCATGTATCCATATTGCAATCTACACATCTTAGTCCTCTAGTTTCTATCACGACGCCTGCCTCGTCCTTTGCAGAGATTTGTACAGGTTATGAAATATTTTATTATTCCATGTCGGCTTAAAGTCTCCCATAAGGTATGCGAGGATGCCGATTTTCTATAGGGTTTGAGACCTGCTGGCAGTTCCTGTTGTATAGACAGCCTTCTTCTAGGTTTAGAGATGGCATATGAATGCCCATGTTGAGTTTTTGGCCCACCTGGTTATAGCATTGGCAGAGATGGCAAGCCGCGTGACTGAATGGTAATCCGAGTCTAAATGGATTTTGCCTCTTCTGAGCTATTAGCGTGTATTTGTTGTGCTAATAATACTTGATAAGTAGTTCACAGGGCAATAGAGGATAGAGGGTCTGTTTCTCTCTGTACTTCTCCCTGAGAGGACATATGATGCATCGTGTTGTACAACAACGTGCACATTAATATATTTCATCTATTGAAGGAATGTAAGTGACTATTGAAGGAATGCAAGTGTAAGCAGAGAGTTTACATTACAGACATCCAGTCTGCCCTCGATTTCTTTTTATCCCACTAGCGGTCGACTCACTATTGAGTTTGTGCACATGGTCTCGACGAGATGTGAGTTGTGTCACCACCGTAACCAGCGATTTATTGCAAGTAGTACGACTTAAGCACAAGCATATTTGTAGATTAATCGGAGGCCACCAGACGTGGGCTTTTCCTTTATGCAAAACACGCAAAGTAACCGCTCTGTAATAGTTGAAGGAACACGTCGATGAACTCTGCGCAAATTCCGTGTGGTGTGCAGGTCAATTGCGCTTGTACAAGTGGGTGGAAGAACGGACGCCCTCTTATTGGCTGTATTTAACCCGCTTGCCGCACTTTCATCCGTATGTATAAGTGTGCGACCAATACTATGATGCTATTAGTATAGCAGTTGCTTTAATATTCGTTTGCTAAGGTTCATCACTTCGATAGCTCATGTAGGTAGCGTGCTCAAGTAGCATTTTGCATGCTTGTGTACAGCTGAGGTCGCCACAATTTAAATATATCTAAGCACTCAACCGCCCAGACAGCCGGTATTAAAATATTATGCCACATACTAATAGCTACTAAAACATAGTATACAGTTTAGTACATAGTTAATAGGTGCTATAGATATGATAGATATTTCAATTTATTGAGTTTACCTTGAGTAATGTCCTTGAGTTATGTCTAAACGCCGTCACAGTAAACTCTACGTACTGACGAAAGATGACGAGTGGCACATACAGTCACAACTCTCCGAGTCTGGTCAAGTAGAAAACGTATATTATAAAAGCAAAAATAATCTGTATGAAGGCGCACTAAGCGAGTCAAGGCCCTGACACGAGAAACGCGATGTGATTGACACGCAGCACAGGTAAACGCAGGTCAGGTAATCTGCTTCATATTTAATAAGGTTCAGGCTGAAACATAGGTTTATTATGGTACAGACACGAGCCACTTTAAGAAACTGCAACGGCAAAGGTTTTAATCGGAATGCTTATTGCAAACATCATACAATAGCAGATGCAGTAAAATGGATGACCACGCCGCAAGCACACAATTCTATGCAAATGCACAGATAAAGGTTCATAAAAAAAACGTGTTTCAAAAGATTATACAATCAGAAAGGCTACACACGCGAGATTCTCCAACATCATATCCCTGAGGGCAGTTTATTGCGATTTCCATGGAGTGATGTGCACAACTAATATCAAAGGCCACGGCTATGTACAATGCAATGTGTTTCTGTGCATTCCGGGAGTGCCAACACCATGCCACGCTAAGGGAGCGAGCACGGCATGCGGCATATCTCAGAAATTAACAACGTCACTCACAGTGCACCTCATTCATAACCCATGTCCGCACGTACGTACATGCACGACTGAATGCAATGTAGCGTACATACCCGTTATTATACAGGAAAGGGTAAAACTAACGTTTGAACTATAAGGTGTGGCTGATATCGATGCTAGCCGTCACAATCCAGCTGGGCTTAAGGAGCGCAGCCTTGCCGTGTACACTGAACGAGTTAGCTGGTGGGATTGCACACCCGGACACACGATAGTGATGTACGTCTTTCCAGTCACGTACGCCGCTGTGTTGCGTGTACGGTGACTATTACATGCGCGCTTCTGCGGTGGTGTAGGATATAGCAACGCCTGCTGCCCACACCAAGGGGCTGCAAGTGTGTGCACACAGAATCTCACACCACAGCCACACGAAATTCTACAGTCTACCAGCAGAGCACCTCCCACGCTGCATGCATGCGTGAACTACGCAGAAACACATGCGCCTCGGTTTAAAAAATGGCGCCGTGAGCAGGGGCGGCCGAACGTCCCCGTGACAAGCGCCGCTGTGGAAGTACACACGAGGCTACCACCCACAACGTCAAGCACCCTAGGCCAACGGATGAGGGTAAGGACTGTCTTAGATCTCTTGGAGATGATCTTTCCGACGCAGAGTCTACAGCTATTGCGCTCGTAGACAGTGTGTCTCTGTGTGCCAACACATACATAGCATATTCGATGCCTGCACAGCTGCGTATGTGCGCCTGTCTAAAGACCTCCTGACCTGTCCACCAGTCCGCAAATGAGAAATAAAGGTGCCCACTTCGAATGCGTAGGACAAAAGGATCCACCCCGCTTCGACACTGTCGGGGCCGAATGAATGTGTACGGTTATCGGATACAGTTAACACCGGCCCGGGCTACAACTACCAACATAGTTATCTAATAAGACAAGAGGCTATACTACCCACAGCGCCTGCTTAAACAGTATAAGGTTGTGGCTACAAACCACAGATAGAGAGGGGGTTTTGCTGCTAGCCGAGTGTCTCAGTCGCGCAGGTCAATGGCGAGTTGCAACTCCTGCAGCGCCCTCAGGACAGTTTTGATATTCGCGCGCACTCCATTGGCCTTCTCTGTGATGGCGTCCGCCTTACTGCGGCATGGGAATGGGCCAACAATATGTGTGAGTGACTGTGATAGACGGATAGAACAGAATCTCGAGCTAAGTACAGTGAAGTAAAGCCGACTGTGTTAGACGGGATAGTAATAATCTAGACTCTTTTAAGTTGTAACCACAGGCAATAGTTCTAGTCTTATAACCAAATGTATACTAGGCCTAATTCAGCACCGCGCAAGTAAGCAAGCATCCCACTTACAGTTGCAAAAGCGCCAACTTCTCTTCAATGTAAGCGTCCGCCTCCTCAACGGTCATCTCCAATTGGAACCCAAATCCGATATCTACAAACAATTCGGAGCAATTTGGTACTCTCGCGTTGCAGTAAATGTTCTGCCCAATGTCCACCAGTGTCTTCAGCTCGATCTGACGCGACTCCTTAATGGTCTCAATGGAATTGCGCAGTTTGTAATGGTCCGACATCTGTTCGTATACCTAATGCACGAGAATCAATGGATGCACACTTAGAATGAATAAGTAAACATGACGATTCATTTAGTTTAGCATAACAAAATCAACCACACGCAATGGATGAATACAAACGATCGAGGCGAATGCGCGGCGCACCCCAGAAGTGTCTATGAACGACTATGAACACTACTACAACTATAACGAAAAAAGGTCAGACGAATGTCATAACATCATACACATGTTACTTGATACCAGCTCAGCCGAGCACCTACTAAGCGCACGTGCTTGGCTCAACATCGACCTAGGGATAGGCAACTGCCATGCATGTGTACAGGTGTTTACATCTATCCTAGATACAGAATATGTGCAAAAAACGATACTACTGGAAAATATGTAGTACTCACCAACGGCACACCAACGGGTAAAAAAACAAATATAATTTCATACTCAAATCTTATTTTATAAATTATTTAGTGTGCTTTTTCGATTGTATATATATATATATATATATATATATATATATATATATATATATATATATATATATATATATATATATATATATATATATATATATATATAATATATATAT